CTTTTTGCATCAGTTTGTACAAACCTTAGCTCAGTACTTGTCCAACAAGCGTCTGCATTTATTTGCTTGCAATTATACAAACACTTGTCCTGCACATGACCCGTGAACATGCCTGTCTGCTCTGCTATATGATTTACCTCCTGCAAAAGTGACTTTGCTCTTGTTGCCAGAAAATCTCTTTTACTTTCTGGTGTTGCTGTCCCAACACACAATGTCTCAGTTAGGGACCATCTCAATTGACTGGATGGGATAAGCAAACACATTTTGGATGATTGGATTTTGCTGCTCTGGAGCAACTTGCGTTTTGAGACCAATACAGTAGGAGTGACAAATTTTCTATGTGCATTTTCCGGCTTTTCTGTGTGCCAGAGCTCTGGCCTATAGCCATGGGGTCATGGGAAGCTTCCACAGGGAAAACTGCACCCCTCCTATACTCCTGGGAGGAAGGGTCATGGTTGATGCAGGCTGTATTCAAAATAAGCATTGTTCAATACTCTGGTTTAACCCTCACTGACATTTATTCCCTCTCAGGAGCAGTCACGTCTCTCCTCTTGACTTTCGTTTTGCAGGATTGAACAAGCTAAGATTCCAGGCCTCTTCTTAAAGCCCTTCTAATCCCCTGTCGTAGAAGCCCTTTAATTCTTGTTTGATTTGTACGAATCTTTCTCAAGCATCAGTAACCAATGGATATACAGGTGCAGAGGCAACTTCACCCACGCCTTCCCACTGCATTAGCACATCCTGCCCTCCATGAACTGTGTCTCAGCTGGTAGATCTTCACTCATATTTCTCTGTTTCATGATTGCATCACATTACATTTCACAACCATTCTGATTCAGTAAGTTATCCAGGTCTTCACAGTGCTCTGCTGTTCCCATCACCTGGTAACAAATGTCCCCATTTGGCATCCATTTTGTTTATCAGAATACCAGTAAATAAGATCAACTATATTCTCCCTTCTTAGTAAATAGGTTTCAAACCTATTTTATTCACTTTCATGCTTTCCTTCAAGTCTCTCATTATTTCCCCTTCAAAATGTGTTCTGCAGCCCTGTGACATACTTAGTTCAGATTAGCAAGCCTCTGATTCCTTGAATTGCTTGTTACTGCCTTTTCAAATACAAATATTACATTTGGCTTGGCTTTTGTGGATTGTTTTTTCTGTCCTGCTACCTTCCCTAATTCGACAGTGTCACAAAACCTCATCCCTGTCCCATTTTATGCCAATCCCACATCTTCTTTATTTTTTCTTCTAGTTTCTTATATAGCCAATGAGTTACTTATTATTGTTCCAGCATCCTATTCATGGTCTAATTCCCTTTTACCTTGGAAATTTTCACTCATTTTGTTTTCTGACCTTTAAACTGTATCTTTCTTTTATCACAGCTGCTCCTCCCACTCCCTCTAAGCTCTTTTCTTTCTGCTAATACTCCTTTTTAAACTACTTATCTCTTTAGGTTTCAGACTCTATAGTTGAGATAGAGGTCCCGACATTTTTTTTTTTTTTTTTTTTTTTTTTTACATTTTTTTTTTTTTTTTTGGA